AAAGTGAAGTTAGGCCATGTGTCTCAGTGCTTGACCAAAACAAAAAAGGTTGTGTGATTAAGAAAGGGAAATACTGCATGCTAAAGTTAATCTCTCAGAGGTTAACATTAAATTAAGCATGTTAAAGTCAACAAGAAGCCTTGCATTCAAGAAGCTTATTTAAAGTTGTTTAATCCAGCCTTTTCCAATCTTTAAGTTAACTACTCAAGATAATGCTATTTCCAATGAATGTACTTTGGGAAAACTATACTTAGCAAATCTCTACTTGTCTGGTAATGTGCATGGTATTCTCTTGTCTAGAATTTCATGTCGTCTTCAGCTTATATGAAGTCTACATTCCTTCTGGGCTCAGTTCTATTGCTAAACAGTGATTGATTTACTCTGAACCACTTAGCCTTTACTGTCAGCTGCTGCATTTTGTCCTCTCATTCACCTTACAGTTTTGGTGGGCTTTGTTTGTTTTCTGCTGAAATTTTCTTCTCAGTTACTTAAGCAACAGTGTTTTCCTTGCCTTCTTTGTATCTTTCCTTTAATCAACCATAAGCGACCATTGCCGTAGAAAGTCAGCATTTATTGAACATCTGTCCAGTACCAGGTTCTTTTCTAGTTGTTCAAAGTAAATAGCAGGAAAATAAAGTTCTGTCCATATGGAGTTTACATAGTAGAATCTAGGGAGACAGACAATAAACAAAACACACATATATACTCAGCCAGTGACAAGTGCTTTGTTGAAAATTAAGGCTGGTTCAGAGTGGAAGAAGGTGTTTTTACTTTATTTAGAGCAGTCAGAGAAGGCCTCACTGAGGTGGTGGTGTTTAAATAGAGACTCGAAGAATATCTATCTGGTATTGCGAATATTTTCCAGGGAAGAGTGGTACAGCTAATGAGCAGGCTCTGTAATGTGAGTGTCTTGAGTGTTTAGACCACAGGGAGTTTGATATGACTGTGCAGGGCGAACGTGGTTTAAGGAGTATGATTGGAGAGAGAGGAGCACGGGCGTGGCTTAGATGTTTGATGTGGAGGACTCAACACCCCATCCTTTGTATCCTGTCCTCAGAGTTTTTTGATTTACTAGTTCTGGGGTTGGAGGAGGATTTCCATTTCTAACAAGGTGCCATATGAGACCTACAGACCTACTGGAATAGGGTGGCTGGGGTGGAAGCAGAGTGACCCCAGGAGGCAGTGATCTTGATAAGAGATCATACAGCCTTAGGCTAGTTGGCAGCAGTGGGGGTGGTGAGAAGTCAGGTTTGGGGTATGCTTTGAAGAAAAAGTCTTTACGATTTACTGATGGATAAAAGTGGGAAGGTAAGCACAAGAGAGGTATCAATTATTGAGCAAGACAAACAAGAGAGGCACATATGGAGAGGAGTATAAATCAGAGGTTTAGTTTTGACATTTAAAGTGGGATATACTTAGTATGCATATAAATTCAGAGAAAAAGAAGGCAGTTGGAGGAGAGGATCAGGGTATAGACAAGTTATGCAATTGCCAGTGGATGAGGGGGGGACCGAAAAGAAAAGTAGAATTATCTTCTGGAAGGTGGGCCTCTTGCAGTACAGGCTTTCCCTAGTAGGTGAGTGTTCTAGGAACCCCTCTGTATCAGTGCACAAGCTGACACTGTTGTGAGAGGATGCGTTCTGCTTCAGTGGAGTTTTTTGAAGGCTCTTTCAAGTGCGTTTGCCCATTTCATGATGGGTGATTTACGATTGCACCTTCCTACACTGTGCCTGGTGTTCAGCAGCTTTTATCCTAAGCAGCATGACGCCCCTCCCCACGCCCCACCTTCCCAATTCACATGATCTCACAGTGAGTGACTTTTTTGTTTCCCTGGATGAAAAAGGTCCTCAAAGGGAAACATTTTCTGATTGGAAAAGAAAAAAAAATGGTAGAAGCGCTAAAAGGTATCAAAATCAACGAGTTCAAAAACTGTTGAGCAGTGGGAAAAAACCTTGATAGGTGTATTGCATCAAATGGAGAGTACTCTGAAGGTGACTGAAGTTTAAACATGTAACAATAAATACACAATTTTTTATAAATAGGTTCCGTTTTTTGGGGGGGTCTCTCCCTTTTATATAGCTGGTATTTAAAGCCAAAGAATAAGACTGGTGGCCCTCAACCAGAAGCAGTTTGCACCCCAGGGGGCTTTTGGCAATATATGGATATACATTTTTGACATCATGATTGGGGCTATCGGCATCTAGTGAGTAGAGGCCAAAAATGTTGCTAAACATTCTGTGATGCACAGGACAGTCTCACAACGAAGACTGAGCTTGGCTGAAATGTTAAAGCTAAAAGCTTTCCCTCTAAGATGCTCACTATCACCATTTCCATTCCATATAGTACTAGTAGCCCTAGCCACAGCAATGAGACAACAAAGAGAAATAAAAGGCATCTAAAACAAAAAGGAAGAAATGTAACTATTTGTAGATGACATGATAATATATAGAAAACCCGAAAGCCTCCACCCAAACACCATTAGAACTAATAGTTGAATTCAGTTAAGTTGCAGAATACAAAATCAAAGTACAGAAATCTGTTGATTTTTCTCATGAATAACACCAATAAAATATCAAAAGGAGAAATTAAGAAAACCCATTAACACTTGAATCAAAAGGCATAAATTGATCTCACCTTTAACAGGAACCTAACAAACAAAACAAGCAAAATATAACCAAAGACACTGAAATAGAGACCAGGCTGACAGTGACCAGAGGGGAGGGAATTTCCAGGGAAAGGGGCGAATGGTTTGCAGGAACGAGTATAAAGGACACATGGACAATAACAAGGTTGGGGCTGGGATGGGGGTGAAAGGCAGAAAATTGTACTTGAACAACAATTAAAATAAAAATGTAAAAAACATAAGTTACCTAGGAATAAATTTAACTTAGGTAAAAAACTTGTGCTCTGAAAACTGAGTCATCTGCAGCCTTCCGAGCCATCCAGATAGTTTCTGCGGAGGAACGTTCAAGCTTAATGCAAGATGTGATGCAGATTCATTGCACTACTCACTCAGGTGTTTTTTTTTAAGATTTTATTTATTTATCTTTAGAGGGGAAAGGAAGGAGATAGGGAGAGAAATATCAGTGTATGGTTGCCTCTCGTGTGTCCCCTGCTGGGAACTGGCCTGCAACCCAGGCATGTGCCCTGACTGGGAATCAAACCATAATACTCTAGTTCTCAGGCCTGCGCTCAATCCACTGAGCTACACCAGCCAGGGCTACACTCAGTTGTTTTTAATGCAAAGGCCACCCCAATATGCTTGTCCACTCAATGCCATCTATTACCCCCACTGATAAGTACAGTTGTCATTTGTTCATGTTCATTCCCAACCACTCTCCTTGGCTGCCAGGTTACATCAATGCTGTGCAAACCATTCTTCTTATAGTAATAATGGCCGGACTTTTTCTGGGTAGACTTTGTATATCATATTAAAAAGTTTTTGCACTGTGAGGAAAACCAATAAAGAGAACCTACTGTGTGAGGGAAGGTATCTGCAAGTGACCCAAAGTAATCCAATAAGGGGTTAATATCGAAACTACACGAACTCGTGCACCTTAACACCAAACCCCCCTAAACAATCCAATTAAAAAAATGGCAGAGGACTTGATATATCTCCAAAGAAGATGTGCCAAAGGACATGAAATGCTCAATGTTACTAATCATCAGGGAAATGCAAATCAAAACCAGAATGCGAACCCACCTCACACTGGTGAGAGTGGGGATCATAAAAAAATCAACACATAAGTGTTGGTGAGGGTGTAGAGAAAAGAGAACCCTCTTAACGACTGTTGTGGGATGACAAAGTGGTGCAGCCAGTGTGGGAAACTGGCTAGTCTTCAAAAAATGTAAAGTAGAGCTGCCATACAATCTAGCAATATCACTGGTGGGGTTTTATATGAGGAAAACAAAAACACTGATTTGCAAATATACATGTACTCATGTTCACTGAAGCATTATTTACAATAGCTGAGCTGTGGAAGCAACCAAGGTGTCCACTGATGGGTGGGTAAAGATGTGCACATACAAAATGGTATACGATTGAGCAATGAAAAATGAAATGTTGCTCTTTGCAACAACATGGCTGGACCTAAAGGGTATTAAGCTAAGTGAAATAAGAGAAAGACAAATAACTGTATGATTTCACTTACGTGTGGAATCCAAAACAAAACAAAACAAAAATGAATAAACAACCCATAGATTCAGAGAACGGGCTTATGGTTACCAAAGTGGGGAAGAAGGAAGGGCAAATGGTTGAAATTTTTAAAAATAAAAACCTCAGATTTTTTTCAATAAGTGGTACCAAAAAACCACAACAAAGTTGATAGTGCCAAGGCTGAGAATTTGAGGCTAGATGAATTTTAAAGGGAGAATGTGGATAAACACACTTTGTGAAGACTGAGCCCTGATTTACTCTAACAATGCTCAGGAAGACTAGAGGAAGCCAACAAAGGAGGTCAGCCGGCTGGTGGTGATGTGAAAACCAAGAAAGGTCTTGAAAGCAAGTGAAGAGACCTTTTCTCAAGGATAAATGTGCTCAATGAACTGTATTAAGTGCTGTTACTTCACATGCTTCTCATGGATTGGATATTAAACTTACAAATTTAATCAAAAGAAGGACTGTCATTGATGATAGAGTTTTTATAGAGTTGATGAGGGTAAAATTCTGGCTAGAATGGACCAAGGAAATATGAGCGGAGTTTTGCAGGGAAGAGACTCGGAGAAATGGGGTCGGTGGTGACTGTAGAGAAGATTGCCTTTTATATATTCTTTTAAGCTGGGAAGTACTAAACAGGGTGGGGCAAAAGTAGGTTTACAGCGGTGAGTACAAGGAAGTTCATTATTATTTATCAAGCATTATTTTCCATACGAATAACTGTATGCATTGGCATTCTAGCCTACTTTCACCACATCCAGTATATGTAGCACATTTGTATTCTAATGGCCACGATCCCATGGGTGGAGGGGGACTTGATTTGGGGGGAAAGTAGGAAGTAATTGTTTTCCAGCAAAACAAAGAGAAAGAAAGTCATCACTAGCTTTTGATCCCCAGAATAGCTTTAATAGGTAGGTGAATAAGTAGGCACTTCCTGACATGAACTAAAATGTGAGGGAGAAAGAAGGTTTCTTTTTCTCAGCCGTGAGCAGCCTTTCCTTGTGAGTAGGAGCGGCACCTTCCCAGCCCATTGGATGGCGTTTTGATGTTTTGTGTTCAACCCTTTCAGAAGTGGAGAGACAGCCTGGCATCTCTGCTTCAGTGAGATGAAGCATAATGTGCTTGAGAATTCTTCCAGAGCTGGGACAGTGTGACAAAATGCATCCTCAGGTGCTAATTTCAATTCACGCACGTTAACAGCTGCCTTTCGGATTCCCTAATTATTAAGTAACCTGTCCCAGATCCACAACCCAGCCTGTCCTCAACACTCCCTGCTTAGAGCAGAGCTAAGTGCATAGAGGGGGTCCCCGTGTAATTCCTCTCAGAAGATCAAAGCTGAACGTGGCACCTAATTCTTTAATGGGATAGAAAAAGTAGCTATTGTGTATTCAAGGTAGATTCAAAACAAAACCAAAACCAAAAACTATTTAGGTACATTTTCCACTCCTTGTACTTCCGAGAAAGTGAAGGGACTTTTCCTGTGTTGTGGTTACTGAGTGCTTTATAACGGAATACCCTACCACTTGGTGGCTTAGAACAAAATCAGTCATTGATTTTATTCCCAAATGAGCAGTTTTTACTGGTCTTAATGTGAACACCGCTGGAGCGATCTGACTGGGTCTGGAGAACTGACTTCCAAGAGGGCTTCCATGCCTGGCTGTGTGACTGCTCCGTGCCTCCACTGGGGGGGGGGGTGCAGCTGGTGTCCCAGTTCCGCTCCCCATGAGCCTGTCCACAGCCTACTTGGTAGATGGGTTTCAAGACCAAGTATTTTAAGAAAAACGAAAATTGTCCATTTTTTTTAAGGTCCGGGCCCAAAACTGGCCCCGGGTCATTTCTCCCATATTGTAACGGTCCGGCAGTTTCTGTTCACCCAGAGTGGAGGGCCACAGGTCGTGCTGCTTGATGGGTAGAATCGCAGTGAATCTGTGAATTTATCACTGTCTCCATCTACTACCCACTGTCATTCCAGAAGGAGGAAAATGTTGGAGCAGTTTTCTTCCCCAGTGTTCACTTTTTCTCCTGAGGCAGTAGTGATAACTTGATTGTTGAATATTGTGGAAGGAACTAGGTACGCTTGACTGAGCCCCCTTTACTCAGGAAAGTCTCTCCAAAAGGTAGCATGCATTCTAGCCTGCTGTCCTAGCGTATGGTAATAAGCTCGGCTCAGCTCCGTGGTTCTCGTTTGCTAAAAACTGTGCTGACATGGATGTAACAGAACTCACTACTGTAAGCATTTTAAAGTACATTCACAGTGCAAACACTGTCATCAACCAGAACTTTTATCATCACCCCGAAAGGAGACCCTGTAGCCCTTAAACAATTGCTCTTACCTCTGTGCCCAGCCTCTGGCACCCTCTAGTCTGCAGTCTGACTCTGGATTTATATATTTTGGATGTTTCATGTAAATGGGATTGGTGGCCTTTTTTGTGTGTTGGTTCATCCACATTGTAGCACATGTCAGTACCTCCTTTCCTTCTACGGCTGAATGATATTCCATTGCATGGCTGCACTGCATTTTATTCCTTAACCTGCTGGTGGTTTTTTAAATTTATGTTTTAAAAATTAACCTGCTGATAGATACCTACATCATCTGGATATTGTGAATAATGCTGCTATAACATCTGACTTGACCTGGTCAAGGGCTGGGGAGGGGTGGAAGGAGACCCTGGCAGTGATACAGGAGGAAGACTTCAGACAAACTCAGGAGGGGTTCATAAGCTCCCCCACAGTTGAAGTGACAGCAGTGGTTTTTGTCCTATGGTCACAACCCCTCAGACTCCAGGGGATGACATATATAGCAAGAGCTAATGTTTGTTGGTTAGTTTGTGTGTCCGGTTTTAGTTTTAGCACGTTGCAGGCATTATCTCAGTTATCACAGTCTTATGGGACAAGTGGTGTCCCCACTTTATAGGAGAGGGAAATGTTTAACCCGAACTCTCTCCAGCGGAGGGGGGCAGGTTGGAAAGTGCCGCTAGGGAGGGTCATAGGTAGTATTTGCAGGGTTGAGGAAATCTTTCATCAGCATCTGTTTTGAGCCATTTCAAGCAGTTCTCACCTTCTCCTTCTTCCTAGTTCATAGAGGCTGGGCAAGGGTGTGGTCATGGCTGGGTGGGGAGCAGCATCCACTGCCCTCCACCCGCGGACATTACCCTTGGCTGCTTGGAGGGGTTCTCAGGACCTGGAGAGCGCTTTGCACTTGCTGTGTCCCCTCTGCGCCACCAGAGGGCAGAACTTCTGCACACATTGGCCTCCTGGCGGCCTTGCTGGGGAACAGAGCCCCGTAGTAGTACTCAACCCCACCAGACTCCATGCCTTTTTAAAAAGCAACTATTAATATTTTCTAATGTCCCCCTTAATAAAGCTTACCCAAGCAAACAGTGCATATAATGCCCTATCTCTAAAGGACAAAAGGGACGGTAGTGTGTAGTAAGTGAATGGGCTTTCGGGGTGCAGTGGCTATACTAGACAAACATGTGGCAGTAGGTGACGGTTGGGGCCCATCGGTGGGTCACTGGATGAAGAATTCTGGGTGCAGCTGGGTGTTCATGTGTTGGATTCACGACAGATGCAGTGTGATTTGTTTTGAAATGATAAACAACTCTTGTTAAAAATAAAGTGGAGTAAAATTGTCCCTTTGTTACATTCTTGGAAATTTCAGTGAATATTAAAACTGCAAAAAAGATTTCTATTTATGTATAAAATAGAGTTGGCTTATGTGCTCCTACCATTATAAACAGGTTTTCTCATTTGGCCCTACATGAATGTCTGGCAGGATATTTGAAAACCAACTCTTTTTTGTGTCTGAAGAACTGTCTTCAGTTAGAACTCCAGCCTGTACCCGAGGACATGAGATGCCCTGTCTTTCCACCATGAGGTGAAGCCACCTGAGAGCCAGGGCTTTCTGTTGCAGGCCCTCAAACCCTCCAGGGTGCCCCTCACAGTACCCAGTGTGGACTCACTGAGGACGGGACAGTGGATTGACTGAGCCCTTCCTCTACGGCTGGGGGTGATTCTCATCCAGCTGGAGTATGTCGACTGCACCCTAAATATGAGGGTTGATCCAAACTGAAGCCAGGCAGGAGGTGCCCCAAGTACCTGGCCAGAGAAGGAAATCCAGGGCTCCACATTTTCTTAGGCAAGGTGCACCCACCCAGCAGGTCCCTGCCCATCCCTGGCACCCTATGCAGGTGTTCTACATGCAGTTCCCGGGACAGAAACTGCGTGCCCTTGTGAAAGAAGTTGATTGGTTCCAACTCATTTTCTGTCCAGAGCCAAGCAGCAGCCCTGTAATGTAGCTAGGTCCGATGGCCCTGCTTAGGATGGTGGGATAAGGAAGCATCTTCCTGGAGCCCTGTGTGGGGATGGGCCCACGCCCAGCCCATGCTGGCCAGATTGCAGCTTCCCCAGCGGGTGCCCAGCCGTGTGCCAGCAACACACCAGCATCTCGAACCTCCTGTGCTGCCGCTGGCATGTGGTTGCTCATTGGAAGGTTTCCTTTCATGTCTTGGCCACAGCAGCTCTGGCGTTCCTTCCAGGCCTGGTGTCTGTGACAGGTGGCTTTTCTAGGAGGGCACGTGGGCTGCCACCACTGAGGCGTCTGTAAAATGGAGACGGGCAAGACTGGGTCAGTGTGTCGCCTCATTCACTCAAGTTCCATCTCTGCAGTTTTTTGTATCTGTGAACTGCATGTTCTTTTCGTTTACTCATCTTGAAATGACCCCAGGACAGAGGATTAGGAAGTATGTGGTATGAAATGACTTGCTGGAGAGTGGTCGAATTCGTACACATTTCTGCTCCAGAGACCAGTTTCTGAGAGATGCCAAGGATGGCCAAGTTTTATTTATTTGTTGGAATATGGCATGATCAAGAATGTTCTGAGTAAGGCAATGATTTCAGCATTGATCATACAATGTCCTCTGACCGCTTGATTGGGTCACATGAATTTCAACTTGAATTGAAGCCTTACTTTGAGAGTTCCCTCTCATGTGCCAGAGCGTGATGAGAGAGTATCACAAATCCCTAAAATTACACCCAAACATGTGTATCTCAACACATCATGGTTTGTTCACCTGAATTACAGTTTAAAATACAGTAGCAAACAGGATGCTGGAACATCTGGATTAGTTAGAAATTTATGGCTAATTCTGTTCTGCACCGCTGCTATGCAGCAACTTACACTTCATTTTAGAGCTTTCACAATTATAGCAATGATCTCAGAAGGAGTTTTGTCCACACTGATTTGGATGAATTTTTCTGGAGCTGATGGAGGCTCCAGAGTATCGAACTGGGACTGCAATAACTCAGGGGGCATAAAATGTCCTTTTCTTCTGAATAAGCGTTCAGAGATGACCTCAAATGAGCCGCTCAGATGGACCACAAGGAGCGTCACCTCGGCCAGCTTCCCCTCCTTCCCCGGCTTGTCATGCTTCACAAGGGCACCGTCTTTTCCTTGGATTAAGATGTCTCTGTACATTTTCTTCAGAGCTGAACAGGCTAGAACCACCTGCTGTCCTGAGGCTACATCTCTGTTTAAAAAAAAAAAAAAAGCAGGGGAAGAGGAAGAAGTGCTAAAGAATTATGACACTTAAAATACTTGGTATCAACTGTAGGGTGATTCCAGTACTACTTCCCTGCAAGTGGAGGGCATCAGAGAATGGTGGTCAAGATTTCAGGCCGTCCTAGTTTTGAGGCAAAGATCTCCTATCTAGTGAACTGAACTATCTTGGGCAAGGCATGCATTTCTCTGAGCATCAGTGCATCATCTGTTAAAGGGGGCTGCCCATAGAGGACCAGCCCATAGAACTGTGAGAAGGAAAGTTTGTCGAGCTGGGAACACAGTGGGTAAGTGCTTGGTGAGTGGCGGCTCCTGTGGGTGCAGGGTGTGGCTCAGGTGCTGTGTGTTACATGGTTCAAGCACTTACACACTGATACGTTCAAAGTACTACTCATGATTCATCTTGTTAATTCTTCACAATAACCTGTGGCTAGGAGCTATTTAACCACCTTTTCGAGTGAAGAAACAGGCTCATGGAAGCCCAGTGGCTGGGATTCCCAGCTGGTGCTTGTGGAGCTGTCTGGGTTTGTCTCCAGAACCCCACTGGACTGTACGAGCGCGTCAGTGGCTGATCAAACTCATTGTTGGTTACTACACAGAAAAACGTTCCACTTCTGGGATCTTTTCTCATAAATCAGTTGTGATTTCAAGGGTCTATTTTTTCCTGTCCTTTCTGATGGGTCTTTACTCACAGGCTTACGCCAAGGCCTGATGTTCTTACCTCAGTAACATTTCATGCAAGTTGCAAAGCCACGGAATCCTGTCCTGAAATTAAAGCAAACAAAAGTGACTTTTCCAGGTATTGTTTATACAGAAACATAGTTAATCTTCTTTGTCAGTATTAAGTCCAGAGTGACCTGAGTGGTTTTGAGAAGTAGGCCATACACAAGGCTGAGGGTCAAGTCACTGGGCAGTGAAGCGCAGAAACGCTTTCCCGGTTCAGGTGTCAGGGGCTCTTTTCACAATAATGAAGATTGCCCTGAAATTCCAGGGTATGTCTTCGCCCTCTCAGCTCCATGTTGTATGTGTTTTCCCTGGTTCTGATGATTGCAGGTCTCCTTTGGTTGTACGGCATGATTCTCTAGGTGCCTCTGATCTCAAATGCAGGGAAGTGTTCACAGAAACCCCATGATCAGCTACCCTTTCTTCAAACCCTCCTGAACTAAGACTCAAGTCAGGTAAAAGCATCACGAGAAATTTCTGTTTTCCCAAAGATGAGACAGAGGAAGTTTACACTGGGCCCCTACCGTGTGTCACAGGGACATCCTCCTGTGACATGATTTCCTTCCAGGGGTAAGTACTTAGCCGTAAAGCACTTAAAAAATCTTTTTATTAATGAAAATTTCAAACAGACAAAAACACAAAAAGCAGCACAAAACAAACTCCTGTTAACTCGTAACATAGCTTCAACAGTTACCAACTCCATCTCATCTCATGGTATATTCCCACTAGGTCCCCACGTGTGGGCTCATCCTCCATTATTTTGATGCATGTTCCAGAAACATGATGCATTTAAAAAAGTCCTTGCTTTTATTACGTATTTGATTAGTATGGTTTTATTGAGGATTTCTGCATTCATGTAATGGAGACCTGCAGGTTTTCTTCTTGTATGGTCCATACTAAATTTTGGTATCTAGGGTATACTAGCCTCATAATATGAGTAGCTTTCCCTCTAAGTCTATTTTTGTATATTGCATACCATATATTATTGTTATGGGGTGAATGTTTGTCTCCCCCGATTTTAACACACAGAAGCCCTAACCCTGCAATGTGATGGTGTTGGAGGTAACTAGGTTAGATGAGATCATGAGGATGGTGCCCTCGTGATGGGGTTAGTGCCCTTCTAAAGGGAGACCCAGGAGCTACTGCTCATGCTCTCCTGCCTCGCCCGGGTGAGAGCACAGTAAGAGGGCAGCCATCTGCAAGCCTGGAAGAGGGCTCTCACCAAGAGTCTGACCATGCCGACATCTTGGTTTGGATCTGGGCTTCCAGCCTGCAGAACTGTGAGAAATAAATGTCCGTTGTTTAAGCCAACCACCAGGGCCTGGGGCCTTTTTTGAGGGGAGATCTCCAATTATAGATTCCATTTCTTGAATGAGCAGTTGTGTTCAGGTCTTCTATTACTGATTCAATTTTGGTACCATTTGAGGTGGAAGAGATTACACACACGGGCAGATCTCTAGATATTTCTGATTCTTGTGCCAAATGCAGCACCAGCAAGGTCATGGTTTCACTGTGGGGGGAAAGCAGACCCTTGTGCCCCCAAGCACTGTGTCTGCAATCAAGTCGCTGCTGTCCAAGTCCATTTTCTCACAGTAATTTGTTCTTCAGTGAAATTGTCCAATTTTATCAGTCTTCAAGTTTACTGGCACAAGCTTGCTCATGGTCCACTTTTCATTCCTAACCTTAATTATGCTTTTTACTCTCCTGACCAGTCTTGCCAGGGGTTTGTCAATTAGTTTTGCTCATCACCTAGCTTTATATTTCATTAATTTCAGCATTCAATTCCTATTTTCCATCATCACATTCTTCCTTTTAGTTTATTGAGGTTTTTTCCTACTTGAACACTTAGCTCATTATTTTCCATTCTTGTTATTTTCCCAAAAGTGCATTTAGAGGCTGTTTCTTCCTTTGCAGTATTTCAACTGTATCCCACAAGTTTTGTCTGATGGCAATGTCGTTGTACATTTCAAAATATATTTCCATGTTTAATTTACACATTCCTTATGAATGTTGACTTTTATTTTTCAGTTTTACTTATTTTTACAGCTTCTGGCCAATTTAGTGATTTGTGAGAATATGCTGCTGGAGTTGATGTTCAAGGTCATCTCACTCCTGATAGTCCCTACATGCAAGGACAAGAGGGAGAATGGTGCCCACCCCCCACTAGGCTGGTGCTTAGAAGTAGTGGGCACAATAAATGTTCCACTGAGAGTTAGTCAGGATGTCATGGGCACAGAGGAGGATTCCTGGGCCTGTGGTTCCAGTGATCTGATGGAAACATCTAGAGAAACAAAGTATGCTCTGGAAGGGGTGGTGGTTAGAAGGAGTGGGGAGATGAAGCTCTCAGGGACCGACGAGGGGGCATGTGTCCAGTTGGTCACACACGGGGGAGGCAGAGGGTGACGAAAGAGTGGGAAGGCGGTGGAGGGGAAGGGAACCGGGTTCACCCTGTGAGAAAGTGAATTTAAGACCATAAAGAATGCATGTAAAAGTATATATTTTATATATAAATAAAAGAGGGAAAACCTCTAAAATTCAATCAGTAGGTATTTTTGGAAGATGAAACCAAAAGTGATGTATTGTGAACTTTTCAGTACTTTCCAAAATTCCTATACAGAGTAAGTATTGCATTTATAACGAGGAAAAAATTTCTCTTTTAAATACTTTTGAAATTGAAGTAGAAGTCTGCTCAAGTGTGACTGTGGGCTTCCAAGACCGCACAGGGGCTCACTGACTGGAAGCTCACAAGTTATCATCATCATCATGCTAATAACTTGCCTTTCTAGACGGGTGCTGTCCAACAGAGCTTTCTGCTGCACTAGAAGCGTCCTCTGTCTGTACCATCTGGGTTGGTAGCCATCCGTCACAAGTAGGTGTGGAACACTTGAAATGTGGCCCTACAGCCCAGGAACTGGGGCTTGCAGTTCACGTATTGAAATGGCCTTGAGGAGTGGTTGGCACATTCACCTCTTCGTCTTCATATCTCATCCCTCTGAGCCCAAAACCTCCCCAAGACTCTTCCCCAGGAAGAACCCCTGCCTCTGCCTAGGACTCTGTAGTTGATCCCCCTCACAGCATCAAAGGGGCAGGGCTGGTTGCCAGGTACCCAGGAGGGGTCACCTTGCCAGCTCAGCTATGACCCATGCCTTCACTCTTAGACTTGCTGGGCTTTTGTCAGGAAGGCAAACCACCTGCTATTCTACCCCTTGCTCTGTTCTGCATCTCTCTCAAATCTGGCTAATTCGCACAGTTTCTCCTACATGTATTCAGGAACTCGTTATGTTTCTTCCGGTAACTGATAACCATGTTTTAGGTACAATAAATTCCTCTTCTGATTCCTACTCCCCCCACCCCATCCACATTGTCCACTTAACAGGGCTCACCTTTGAACACAGGAAGGGCATTTAAATGCCATTTTAAAGTCCATCCATTTGGGTTGCTTTACTTTGTTCTTTAACTTAACTCTTATGTGCAACTCACCGAGGAGAAAGATGAGACTTGCAGGGGCACATCTGACACACTACAGACATGGTTCACACCTAAACATACACATGTCTATACAGGTATGATATTAGAAGCAATAACAAATGAAAAGTGATACTGAATACTTTTGAGTACTTATCTGTGCATTTATTTTAATTATCTCATTTAATCCTCCCAAGAACTCAATGAAGTGGTACAATCCCTACTTCAGGGGAGGAAAATGAGGTGCAGAGAGAGGAACCCATTTGCCGAAGGTCACACAGGCTTAGTGGTAGGGCTCAGTTATCTGCCCCATGTCTCTTATCTCTAGTATGAGGGTTATATGTAAATTATCTTGTATGGTTCATTTCCTATCTTCTCAAGTCAAAGGTTGTGAATTTATTTTGTTGGTTCAAGGCCTGAATCACTGTGAACTCAAGCAAGCTGTGCTGACACAGAGAAGTGCACCCTTAGAATGCTGCAGAATTAGACCTGCTAATGGGGCAGTGAGTGACTCAAGTTTTCAAGGCAGGACAAAGGGAAGAGTGAGATGTTGGAGGCACAACAGGGTGTGAGCCAAGTTCACAGGAAGTGAAAACAACAGTGCTGGTCTTTGGCCAGTTCCATGCTGTCCTGTCCTTTGGACACACCTGGCATGTGGGCCTGGCTGGGGCCCCTGCTCTGTGGACCCAGACCTTGCCCCTGCCATCACAGTGTCTCCAGGGCGACAGCTAGCTTAGCCAATGAATCCAGTTTGTAAGTCTGGCTTGAGAGACAACTGTAGGAAATGGCCTCGTGATGGTGCATATACAAATGGAGAGCCATTCATTCATTCCTTCTCTCCTTCATTCATTTATTCACAAATCTGCCACAAATATTCTCTGACATTTACTCTGTGTCAGTCCCTAGGGATATATAACGGTTAACAGAAATGGCCACAGTCCCTGTCCTTCTAGAGGTAAAATTTAGTTGCATAGATAAATGTTAATCAAATTCTCACACTATCAAGTGCCAAATTGCAAGTGGGACAAAGGCAGTAAGGGATATGTTGCCATGAGAATTTACTATATGAGGTTTTACTTAAGTGGGTCAGGAAGGGCTTCCTTGCAGAAGTGGCACAGGAGCTGAGTCGTGAGGGATGAGTGGGGCCAACTTGGTGGCCAAGCGAAGCAAGCACATTCCAGGCTGTGGACCAGCAGGTACAAAGACCCCGGGAAGGAGCATGGCAGGAGGAGCTGAAAGGGACCATGGTGACTTCACCGGAGGTAGGGAAGGGGTGCATGGCAATTAAGGAGAGGGGACTGGGTGGAGGTCATTCTGGCCTAAGGATACATGATTCAGCACTTTAGGCATTTGGTACTGACCCTGAGATTGGTGGGAAAATTCCAAAGGGCCAGACGTGAATTTGCGAAGATCACTCTGGCTTGGGGTAGATGACAGAGTCTGGTGATGGTACAGGCTGACAGGACCTGGGAAGGGAAGATGAACTTCCCCATGTATGAGGTCCCCTCAGAAATGACATTCTGCACATTAAAATTCTTCAACCAAGAGTTCTGGCAGACCCTGACCAAGCTGGGGCAGAGAGTAGGTGCATTGCTTCTGATGCTGAGGTAAGAGAAGTTCATGGCCAAAGCTAGTAATATTTGCTGAGGCCCCACCGTGTGCCTGGATTGTGGAGCACTGTCCCCGAGTTATATCTTAACTTAGGAGCTGAACTACACCAAGCATTGCGAAGATCTGAACTTGCACTGCTCAGCTGGAATATGGGTGTTGGAAACAGTGAACATTACCTGGTCATTCAGCGGAATTCCTCTTCCCATCTTTACTCGATTTTCTTCTGGGTGATAGTCATCCGCATCATAGAATTTCCACCCTAGCTTTAAGAACAAAGTGAAAAGCTGTATGTGGCGGGCAGCGTGGCCCACCCTGCTAGCCGTTCGCCACCAGCAGCCCGAGGGCCGTGGCCAGTGCCGGAGGGAGGTCTGGGATGCCACTTCGAGATCCCACCTCACGGGCTGCTGCAGCTCCTTTTTTCATTCACTGTGGTTCACAATCACCAGAGAGGAAGACAAAATTCTTCCAATAGTTTTACAAACCTTGTGCAGGTGCTGTGGTGAGTTTTACAATCCACTACAGGCCAGAAGAAAGGGTGGGCAAAGAGAGAGAAATAGGAGACAACACAATGGTGCTTGTAAGTGGGGGTCGTGAGGGCAGGTTACCTCGGATGCCAGCAGGGCGCCCACGGTCGATCTGCGGAAAGGACACAGGTGTTCAAACGGCTGCTCTTTACTACCCTGCACGGTGCCTCCTCCCACCCAAGAGTGGCTGCCCCACTGGTATTGAATCACCAATAACTTTATGATGTTGAAGGAGTGAGAGTGATGCTCTTGACCCCGGAGGCCAGAGCCTGATCCCAGTTTCCTCTAGGAGTTTAAAGGACATAATGACCCGGTTACCAATAATTCCCCCTGCCCCCGCAAAAGCAGTATATAAGATCTCATTGAACTCCCTGTGGGGTTTTTTTTTGCCCCTGTTCTATAGAGGTTTAGTTTTTGAGAAAAATACTGAATAAATGGGATCAATTAGATCTTGAAATTATCCTTGACTCCTTCGTCCGTCATACCCTACATCCAGTCCATCGATGCATCTTTTTGACTCTGCCTTCAATACACCTCCAGCATATGGCCACTTCTTATCTGCATTGTTCCTTTGACCTCACCTCCCACTGTTCAGCCACAATGGCTTTCTTGCTGGTCCCCAGAGAAGCCAGGCCTCAGGGTCTTTGCATTCACCATCCCCCCTGTCTACAATGCCCTTGCGCCGGCTATCAGCGTGGCTTATTCCCTTGCTTCCTGTGGGTCTTGGTCAAATATCACTTCCTTTGGGAAGCCTTCCTGGACCATTCTTCCTGGCACTCTGTCCCACTCTCCCTCCTGTATTTTCCTGCGGAGTACCACCCAGCACTGGGCACACCAGACATACGTTTATTCACTTACTGCCTGTTGCCCACACTAGTGCGTAAACTCTTTGAGGGCAGGGGTTTTATGTGTCCTGGTCGACTGTGTCCAGTCGGCAACACAGAGTAAGGGCTGAGTTCAATAACTACTTACTGAGTGTATCACTATCACAACCATAATTATAACGGTAGAAATCATCTGGTCCAGAGTCTCCTCCTCTGAGCCAAAGCAGAGGTGCGTGCAGCCCAAACTCACACCAAGGGCTCCCATGACATGGCCGCCATCTCACATTCTCAACTTCTCCAACTCATACATCAGTTACGAAGTCTTGGCCAACACGTTCTAATTTCATTTAAGATTCCCCAAATGATTTTAATTTCTCAAAATTTGAGGCTAAAAATGCACAATAATTTTGGAAAGCTAAACCTGCCCACCTGGGGCAAGAAAGAGTCTATAATATACACCTGACCACGCGGGCAGTTCCTGAGCCAGAAGACTGTGGGCCTTGGAAGGTTATGATATTTTAGTTACGTTCTGGGTGGGTGGGGTGGGTGGTGTGTGTGTGTGTGTTTTCTGCCTCCATTGCAATGCTGCAGAGACTGTTGGTCCTGATAAAGGGCAAAGTTCGATTTTGGTTTAATCAAGAAGCTAATGAAAGGCTGGCACCCTCGGCCCCCAAGCCGACCAGCCAGGAGGCTTTGCGGCAGCCAGGGTTCCTCCGGCCTCACAAGCCCTCCATCCGTATGAACGCTGACTTCTTCCAGCTGTAGCTGCTAAACTCTGATCAAACACGGGGAAACAGGCTTAAATTCACGTCCCAAAATCTAATCAGAAAGCCCGGAGCCTCGCAGGAGGGAGCTGCAGCTCTACCCAGCCTGACAAAGGTCTGCAGAAGCCTGGGACAAGGTTTGCCCCCGCGCTTCGGGCTTTGCAAGCTCCACCTGGTTCTGACCTCACCCCACCTCCCGACCCTCGACTTCGGTCCCAGCCGCTCCAGGTTCCCCAGCAGGCGCCTCTTTAAAACGGCCTCTCCGTGGATGCAAGGATCCCCCGATCTCGGACGTGGTGCCGCGCCAGGTGCCCCGGGGCGAGCAGGTTGGAGGGGGGAAGAGGGAGCAGGTCCCCCGAACCTCACTTTGCTGCAAAGCGGAGGGAGGCTCCCAGGGCCGCCCGGCCGCCGCGGGCACGGAACGCAGCCGGGTTTGGCCTCCGCGGTGCCGCCCCCTCCTCCCGGGCGCCCCCTCCTCCCGGGCGCCCCCCGCGCCCCTGCCCTCCTGGACCTACTTTCCCGAGCCGCTCACGCCCATGACCAGTACCGCTGCAGGTGCCGCCATGGCCCCAGTCCGGCTGCGTCCCGCTGCTTCCGGGCCGTGCGCTCCGCCTTCCCGGGCCGAGGGCGGAGCAGCACGAGGGCGCGCGTCGACCCCTGCTGCCGCGCCCTGCCGCCCTGCCCCCCTGTCCCCGGCGTGTCCCAGGCTGAACCCCGGTCCGCGTCTCCCGCAAGCGAAGCCAGCAAAGGTGGGGTTTGGGGGCGGGAAGCCGGCCCGCAGCCCCGCCTCCCATCTGCGGGCCTCTGGGTTCCCTCTCCTGCTCGCTGCTGGGGCCTCGCCCTCCAAGGCCAGACTCTCCTGCTCCTCCAACACCGGACGGAAATAGATTTGATTTATTTAAAATGTTATCGTAACCCTCTCTGGCCCGGTAGCTCGGTCGGAGCATTGCCCCAAAAGGCCAAAGTTTGCGGGTTCCGTCCCCGTTGGGGCGCATACAGGACTCAACCCGTGAACACATGAATGGGTGGAGCAACAAATTGATGTCTCCTCTCCCACCGTCCCCTTCTCCCCTCCTCTCTAAGAAGTCAGTCAATAAATTGAAGACATTTAAGGCGTTATAAAAAGAGTTAGCAGATAATAAATTCACACTTTCCCACAGCATGTGGCAGTAAGTATCCATTTCTCGAATGATCTCCCCTCCCACATAGGTAGATGGGTTTGAGTATTTTACGAAATTGGGGTCATGCTGTCCATGGTGTTTTGTAACCTGGCGGTTTGTCACAATAATGTGAGAAGGACATCTTTTGCGGTCAAATATAGATGAGATGAGACCATAGCAGTGCATGTCATGGCGGCAGGCCTCTGGTATTTCATCTGCTCCTGGTCTCTGGTAAATTCCTTAAGAGGGAAGGAGCACCTCTATGAAGAGCGCATTTGCTTTACAACAGTGTGTTAATTGTAGGATCTAACCCACTTACATGAACACCTAACGCCCTCGCTGCACAGTGATGAATCAGGCCGCTGGGCAGGAAGCTTTTGTGGAAAGTCTCCCTGTCATTGGTCTGCAAGTGGAACGTGTTGCACCACCTGTCACTGAGGGGAGTGTTCTTGCTCGCCTCATCCTACCCAATAATGATGTTGGGCAAAAACACTCTTCGCGCTCGGTGTGTACACCATATTATGCAGCGTGGTTCCCGCATTTGGTCAGGTGTTCAGAACTGACAGCCATCTCCAGAGGTGGGGTGATTCGGTTGTGTCATGGTTGCCCACAGGATATGGATCTAGTTCAAGTGGAACTAGATGAGGTGCATCGCAGCCACACCTGGTGATGCACCTCATCACCTTGGACTCTGCCACACCACTGGGCACATGCTAGTGGCTTTGTATCGTGAACTGACTCCAGAGACAATTCTCACTGAAGAGCCGTGGAAAACCGGTTTAACACGTTCAAGGCTGCAGCTGGCCTGAGCATCATGCATGCAAATTATTCCCCATTAGATACATCGTCATATGTGGCAAATATAGCCACTTACAACTGGTCCCATCATCTTCTAGTCAATATTTGTCCACAGGGTTGGTGGTATAGCCCGGCCGTTTGTGGTCCATGTGCACAAGGTAGCCCAAGCAGCACAGATGACTTCCCTCATGGCCATCAACACATTTCTCACGGAAGTTGACTCAGCTCTTATTCTAATACCTGGAGTTCTAGATGAGATAATGAAATTTTGCGAGGCATAGAGACACTTGGAGCAAGAAGTTGGACCCAACCAGCTTCTATATGCCAAGACTGCATGTCACTGAGAAGCTGCCAAGGTGACCCCAACTGCCTTCCCAAAACTTGCATCAGCTGTCTTATACAATGCATCAGAGATGAGTGCCACTATGAAGAATTCCCGGCAAGGTTGTCCTGTCCTGGGTGGAATACCTGACACAAAGCTCCGGGACGCATTTTGCAGGAAGCTTAAGAAAACAGGGCAGTCGACGTTTACTGACCGGCAGCGGGCCATCCTAAGATCATGGGGCATCACTCAAGACAATGTAAATGCTATGCTTGGATCACGCCAGAAACACAGAGATGAGTCTCCTACTTCAGTGATCACAGGTGATTATAAACACATAAATAAATAAAAAATAAAACATTTGATTAGAAGCACCTCCCATGACATTTTGCTCAATCTCCTTTGTTACCCAAGTTCATATTACTTGGCACCCTTGAAACGACAAAGCTGACATATTTCAATTGCCCCTGCACTGACTTTGTTTTTCCTACTTAGCCAGAGGAGGTGAGAATTCAGCGTTCCCATATGTTGCAGATACAGAAATTGAGACCTGCAGAGAGAAGGTGGCTGGTCTAAGACTTTACTGTTCACTTATGGTCAATGACCATTTCTTGAGCCTCTACCAGCCAGGGGATTCACTAAAGATGAACCTTACCCCCCCCCCCCCCCCCCCCCCAGGTGTTAGCAGGCAGGTAGGAGGAGCTGTGTAAGCAAACACTGGAACTTGTGCTCTGCTTTACCAGCTCTGGCAAAAAAAGTTAGTTCTCATTTCTTTCAATGTTCAAATCAAAATGGTTAAAGTCTTGTTCATCTCCCCAGATTTCCCCTCCCCCCAAAATGTTCAAGGGCCTCAGATTTGCTGAATTAGGGAAGGGGGCGGGAGGAAACAGCACCCTCAAGCTGGGCCTTTGCAAAGGGTTTAACAAAGGGGCTATTTTTGGAGATGCAGGTGGGGTCAGTTAAAGCAACAAGGGGCAGTGTGTTAGTCCCAGTAATTGAGGGGCTGAGAAGGGGTGATGGGAGGGAGCCTTTCTAAAGGGCTGAGAGAGAGAGAGAGAGAAGTCCTAGGAAGAGACGCAGACACCCCTTGTTGACTTTCAAGAGGGAGGGAAGCAGAAGAATGGGCGGCCTCCCCTCTGCTTCTCTTGCCCTCCGATCTCCTGCGAGCAGCCAAACCCCAGTGGCCAAGCCCAGGCGGAAGGCAGAGACCTGGGCAGTCTGTTGAGTGGGCCCATGCGTGCCAATCTCCTGGACGTGGCAGGGAAGAGAAGGGCAGAGAGTGTGCCTGATGGGACAGAGGAAAGACATCCAGTACTTCTCTGCTCTCAACTGTCACTGACAGTGATTTTCAACCGATGTGCTGCCAGAAGTTTTAAAACATGTGCTACCCGACTACTCAGTCAGGGGCACTGACCTCTTTTGCCTTAGATTGTCAAATTAAAAAACAATGACAACAGCCAACACAACAGCAGCTGTCTGGTGTGAATGAATCAAAATTATACTTAATTTTTTGTTAGATTGGCAAAAATATTTTTTGGTGTGCTGCAGAATTTTGGTAATTACCCCATATTTTGTCACGTATAATGCGCACCCATGTTTTTGGTCCAAACTTTCACAGAAAAAAATCTTTCATTTTAATTCAATTATTTATTTATTTATATGTAGATAGTTGTTTTTTTGTATTATAAAGGAATTTTAGGATTTATTTTTTAACATATTATGGTACAAGAAATGTTATGTAATAAATAACTACAAAGCACAAGAACAGATACAAAGTACAAGAAATTTTATGTGCCAGTAACAAGTTTATGATATTTACCTACAGCATTAGAACTACCCATGTATAATGCTCATCTTTTTTCTTCCCTCAAAAATTTGAGCATAAAAGTGTGCATAATACACGGTGAAATACGGTAGTTCATGTGTGCCATGAGATGAATAAGGTTGAAAATAGCTGGTCAGTGAGATAATCCTCTTGTGCGTCTAGGACAGCAGAACTCAGAAGTGCCCCTAAGAACTAAATTTGACTTTTTTGTGGGGAGGGCTTCCAGAGAGTGCCACCTGCTGTGACTCATGGACAACCCGCAGGCTGCACATTGGTCTGGTGTGAAGTCCTGACTCTGCCGCAGGCCCTGCTGTACCAGCTGAGGCCCATGGTGCCCTGGAAACCGGGAGACCCCCAGTGAGGTGTTGCTTGCTGCATGAGTTACTGCAGTGCGAGGCCCTGGCACAGGGAGGACAGCTGGAGGGCTAGCAGCCTCTAGGTGAGAAGGCCCGTGCTCAGTCAACAATGAGAGAAGGTGCCTGAGAGGAAGCACTTACGAGGAACCCAGGGAACCTTTAGTTTCCAGCGCCCTCCTGGTTTTCTGTTTGCAACTGTCTCCAACTTTCCCACCTTCTCTGGGGTCTTGGATTAAATAACCCTCTGCCTACAGCCTCCTTGTGGGGGCAACTCTGCCCTCAGGTACCCCTGGCCACCACGGATGAAAGTAACACTACCAAGACATGATCTACTTGGGGAGGAGAGGCGGCCAGTTTCTCAGAGGAAAAAAGCCAGGAGCCCCTTCCTCAAGGGGCTTTTATTGGGTTATAATGCACAGGAATACAGGCGGCAAGGATCAAACAGTAGATAACATTTCAAAGAAATCTGAGGGCTTGGTCTGAGTCAGTGTCTGTCAGGAAAGGGGTTTGCAGAAAATTTGGGAGACATACTCCTTTCCTGCTTGGACCCTTACTATATGAATGAAAGCACTCTTAGCAAAGCAGGCTTCACAGGACTTTTAGGAATTCTTTCTCATGCCTGATTACCCTGATACTGCTCTAGCAAGGCAAGGAGCTGCACTGCCTCCCCTACCATAGGTTTTCAGGCTTAAGTGGATTATTGCCAGGAAGCGCTTCTTCCAGAAAACATGGAGAATTGGGCTATGTCAGAATAGCCAGGGGGCAAGGGTCCATTGCTTCCTCTTTGTCGCAGCCTCCCGAGTCCTTCCATGATGGCCTCCCAAGTGATCATGTCTGGCTTAGGTTGCCCCTCCTCTGAGGGGACTTACCTGTCATTGACTATCCGACCAAGCTTTGGGGGCAGGGGAGTAAGCTGAGGCAGCATTTGCTACCAGAGACAAGCTCTGTCTCCTGCGGTTTGCATTCTGGAGGTGGCTCACTCATCCTTAGCCATGGGGGGTAGTTACAATGCCCAAAACCAGGCAGAGCGGTTCCCAACACCTCCTTCCCTCTCCACAGATGATTTATTTCAGTTCTCCACTGGCTTCTTCCCACTATTCTTTTAAGAAGGTATTGCTGCAAGTTTTGGGTCTTAGGACCCTTTTGTACTCTGAGAAACTTGAAAATGTGTATTAATTTGTT